GTCGGCCCATTGTGAGGTGAATTTGATGAAATATCACAATTCTATGCTCAGATTTGATTAATTTTCCCAATGGAACCACATGTCACACAGGATTTATTCAAGTACCGTCAGTGAGGAAAAAATCCATCAAATTTTCTGTTTTTACAGTTTTCTGCTCTGATAAATGGAGTAATTTTAGCATTAAAAAAAATAAAGAAAGGGAAAAAAAACCTTGCATTTTAACCCTGACGAGGATTTTGATGAAATATCCCAATTTCCTGTTTACATTTGATTAATATTCTTGATGGAACCACATGTCACATTTGATCTGTTCAAAGACCAACATAGAGTTGAAAGTCTGCCAAATTTTCTGTGTTTTCAGTTTTCTGCTCTGATAAATGGTGTGATTTTGACATTTAAAAATATTAATAATACTAACTCTCCGTTCAGCGCTGCCGACAGGTTTTGTAAAGTGAATGTGATGAAATGTCACATTTTCCTGCTTAGCGTTTTAATTTTCCTCATGGAACCGCACACTCCACATGTTTTATTTAAGCAACAACAAAGAGCTGAAAATCTGCCAAATTTTTCTGTCTTTTCAGTTTCCAGCTCCAATAAACGGTCGAACCTCTGTCATTATTCTGATTATTTTTTTTAAGGAAATAACATTTCTTTCACGTCCGCCTGCAGCTTCTGGGGGTTCAGAGGGTTAAAAAACATCGTCATGAATAATGAATTAAAGAGCTGCACCAGAAGGGTCATTCGAGGTTCTGAAAATTTAATGCTTCTGAGCCGCTCTTGAGTAGTTGTTGCCTCCCAACAAGCATCAAAAATAAATGGTGGCCTTTCAGAGCTCTTCACAGAATCTGCATCGCTGCCGTCGGCGTCTGAGCGTGTCGCCGCCGCCGTGGTCGCCGTGTTTTCATCGTTCCATCGCCTCGGGGAGCCGCTCGTCCTCCCGCCGAGTCCGATGGCGATGACAACATTTAAGCGTGCGAAGCGCTCGGCCTGCGCTAGCCGTGTGGTCGCGCTTCGCCCGGCGGTTCGTGGCCTGTCAGAGGTTTAGTCCTGCTCTGGGTTCTTTCTCTGAGCCTTTCTCACTGCGATATAAAGTCCTGCATCTCCACGGAGGTGTTAGAACGATAGAAGTCCGTCATTTACTCTACGGAGATGCTCCACCATGATGGATGTGTGTCCAACTACTGGCGTCTCATGTTTCCTGTATTTCTGTGGCATTCGTCTCATTTTGTCTCTCGTTTTGTCTCCTTTTTCTCTCATTTCTTAACATGTTTCTTGTCTTGTTTTATCTCATTTTCTGTCTCACTTCTTGACATTAATGTGTCTCAGTTCCCTCATTTTCCATTTTGTTATGGTCAATTTTTGTCTCATTTTTCACACCATGGATCTCGTTTTTCGTTTTTGGGTCATTTTCTGTCTCATTTGTCTTGTTTTGTCTCCACATGCTGTCGATATTTACCTGTTTACCTTCATAAAACCTTCTGCTCATCATCAGTAGAAAGATGTTCCACCACCATCAGCTGTAGAAAGATGTTCCACCATCATGTAGGAAGATGTTTCACCATCAGCTGGATGCATCTCCACCAACTGGCTCCTCTGTTCTCTGGTTCTGATCCGTGCTGTATTTATTTATGCATCCAGCAGGTGACCATGTCTGAGGAGGTTTTCTGTCATTTTTTGACAAATTTCAAGTGATTTTAGAAACTTTAAAATCATTTTAGGCAGGTTTAAGTCACGTTGGACAAATTTTTCAAAGCATTGAAAGTGGAAGAAAAAAAAAAAAGAGTAAACATTTGTCTCATTTTTCTTGTTTTCTGTCCTGTTTTGTCTCTTTTTGGTGTTTTTATTTCTATTCTTTGGCATTTTGTCTCTTATTTTGTTGTTTTGGGTCATTTTTTAAATCTTGTTTCTCTTTTTGTGTCTAATTTTTAGCGTTTTCTCTCGTTTCTGTTGTTTTGTCACTTCGTTGTTGTTTTTCATCCTGTTTCTGTTGTTTTGTGTCTCATTTTTCTTGTGTCGTCTTTCTGTCATTCAGTGTCCGTCCTTGTCTTGTTTTTCTTGTCATTTTCTGGGTTTTCACAGCTGCTCTGTCTGTATCTGGGTCTTTACTCAGCAGCCTGTGGAGAAATTAGCTCCGGCGCCGCTGCACACGACGAACCGGCCTCTGTTGGGCCTCCGTTGGGCCTCCGTTGGTCCTCCGTTGGTCCTCCGTTGGTCCTCCGTTGGTCCTCCGTTGGGCCTCCGTTCGGACTCCGTCGGGCCTCCGTTGGGCCTCCGTTCGCCCTGCATTGGGCCATGTCGAATGTCTGTTTTGCATTCTGCTGCGTCGTCCTCGATGAATAAACATCAGGGAAGCCGGTCCGTCGTCTTTGGCGACGTCGACGAATACCGATGCTTCTTCCAGAGCTGAACTTTCACCTCGTCGAGCCGCACCGTGACCGAACCGGCGGCTCTCCGGGTTAACGAAGCGGCTGCTCCGACTCCTGAGCAGCCGGTTAACGTGGCTGCTGATTGGTCGGCCGAGGTCAGCTGGTTTCTGGGCCTCGCTCGTGTTTCCTGCCTCGTTTTGTGTCTGGAGCTGATTCAGATTCCAAACACGCTCATGTTCTCATCGCTGTGTGTTTCTGTTCTGTTCTCGGTGCTGCCCTGCTCCTCCTCCTCCTCCTCGTCTGTCTCCTCCCGTCCACGCCGGTTGGCTGCTAAAGGTAAGCGAAACAAACACACCTTCTGCTCTCGTTGGTGCTGCTTTGACATTTAGCAGCTTCATGTTGGAATTTTTTGCACAATTACACCAAAACTCCAGAAACCTTTGAAGGTTCCTGGAGTTCCTCAAGGTTCCTACGAGCAAACAAGGTTCCCTGAACGTCTCTGGAAGCTCCTGATTCCAACAGAGTCTGTGTTTATAGAGCTGTTTTAACGTGGATGTGTGCAACTATAACCCTGATTCCAGATGTTTCTAACTGTGGTTTGACTGGTCAGAAGGATGTTGGTGATATCTGCATTTTAAAGTCCAGTTAGTTGAGTTCAGGGACGTCAGGACTAGAAGTGTCTGACAAGTGGCGTCTGAAACTATTCTTTTTCCTAGTCCAACACGATGCTTTCAAAGTCCCGGAATGATGCTACAGATATCTGGGATGGTAATTCTTACGAGCCAGTGGGTGAGAAGGATGTTGCTGGTGTCTGGTGTTTTAAATCTGGACAGTTATTAGATGTTAAAGAGGTTTGTGATGGTGTTGAACTGTCTGAGGAGGGATGTCAGGACGGGGCTACAGGTAGTGGTGTCTGAAACTATCATAATAACTAAACTACAGAGTCTCTAGCTGTGATTGGTCAGAATGATGTTATAGATTTGACAGTCAAATGTCAATTGGATGTCAAGACTATGTCTATGAAGACTCTCAGTCCTCCACATCATGGTTACTCTCGTAGATTCATCCCAGCAGCAGCTGGACTCGCTTGAGTTCCTTGAAGACGTTTCACCTCTTCGACGTCCTCTGAAACGTCTTCAAGGACCTCAAGCAAGTCCAGTTCCTACGATGAATCTACGAGAATGTCAAGACTACGTTATAGGCGTCTGATAAGTGGCGTCTGAAACTATAACTCTGCAGATATCTGTAGGGGGCGCTTGGTCAGAATGATGCTACGGATATCTGGGTTAAATGTTCAAACCACGACTATGACTAAGGAGGGATGTCAGGACTGTGTTATAAGTACCTGATAAATGGCACTAAACCTCTGAGTAGCCGCAGTGTGATGAGTCATGATGATGCTGTCGATGTCTGTACCTTTAATTCCACCTGGTCAGACTTGGTGAATAAATGTTAAAATGGCCAGAAGTGGATGGAAGTCAGGACTGTGTTGTGTCTGATGAAGCACATCTCTGAGGCGTTGAGGCGTACCTGCTGTTGACATTTTAATTCTAGTCAGCGACACTCAACAAGTAAAGATTAAAGCTGTTAGAGGTTTGTCAGGAAGCGTCTGATGAGTGGTTCATGATTTTTTTCAGTCCAAACTGATTCTCTGACTATGGTCTGACTGGTTGGACGGTACGGCAGCCTGGAAGGGTCATGGAGAAAGAAAGAAATAAAAACAGGGAGAGGGCAAAACTTTCTCGGGAAAGTCACATCAATCTTATTGGACGTTTTGTGAGAACTGTGCCTCTTGCTAAGAACTGATTGAATGTCAATTTCAAAATGAAACTCTTGTACGGGTGGTCGTCCTCCTTTGTCGTTTCTCCAGACTGCCAAGACGACCCACAAGTATATGTACCGAAAGACTTCTTCTTCTTCTATTGATGTGGCGGTTAGCATCCAACGTTCAGGTGCATAACCGGACTGGAGTTACCTCTAGTTTTGTGAGATCTCGCAAAAGATACCTCTATTTTTTTTTTCCTTCTCCCCATTTTTTTTTCTTTCTCCATGTCCCTTCTGGGGCTCCATAAAAAGGACATTATAGATACAGTATGTGGAATAAATCTCTAACTAGTCGCAGTGATGTTGTTGGTATCTGTCAGGACTGGATTATAGGTACCTGATAAGTGGTGTCTGACTACATTTCTGAGTAGTCGCAGTGTATTTAGTCAAAGTTCTGTCGTTGATGTCTGTAAATGTAATACTGTCCTACTGACTGTTTACCAAAGTGTTAAACTGTCTGAGGAGGTTTGTCAGGACTGGATTATGAGAGTCTAGTTCGTGGTGACTGGAACTATTCATTCTACTTCGTCTAACAGTGTTGCTTTGCCGGGTCAGAATGACCCTGGAGACGTCTGTAGTTTTAATTTCTGATGGTTGAACTCGGCTGATAAATGCTAAAACAGCTTCTGTGTTCTCTGTTGGTCGATTCGTGTCGCGACCGAAGCATCTCATCAGCGGCGTTGGTCCATGAACGTTCCGGTGCTTGAAGGTGACCCCAGAACCAGCCCCGGCCCGACTGGTTTGACATGGTCTGGTTTGTTTTCATGCTGGAAAATCGCTGAGAAACACAAACAGAGTCAGATGAGGATTGCATTGATTGTGTTCGAGGTCCTGCTGCCTCGTCTCCTGAGTCACGTTCGAGGCCGTTTGTTTTGTTGAAGCGCTTCACTCGGAGGTCTTTCTGACGGTTAGATCTCCGTCAAAAGGCACGAAAGAATAACACGACTCGCTGTGAAACGAAGCAGTTCAACAGGTTAAACCACAGCGAGTGCACGTGTTCAGGTAGACGTACAGCTGTTGGTGGGCTTTATGTCTTTTTATGGGACAGCTTTAGCTTCTTTTTATCTCCCTTCTGTCATTTTGTGTCTCATTTATGTCATTTTATGCCTTTTTACAGTTTTTTTGTTTTGTCTCGTCTTTAATTTTTCTCGTTTTATGTCGTCGTCTGTGTTGTTTCTCTCATTTCGGGTCCATTTCCCATCATTTTATTTCTGTTTGCGACAGTTTTGTCTCATCGTGCGATAAATATTTAACTGTTTATCCACAAACTCGGCAGGTTTTTCCTCTTTTTTGTCGTTTTGCGTCTCGATTTGGTCGTTTCATGCGTTTCTGTGACACTTTAGTCTCGTAATTTTGTCATTTTTTGTCTCCCTTGTGTCGTTTTATGGTCTTTTTTTTCTGTTTTTTGCCTCTTTGTGGTCATTTTCTTGTGGTAGTGTCTCTGTGGAAGCACTGCCTGCAGCTCAACCTGAATCCTTGTGATGAGAATCTCAGAATTTGTAGTTTGTTTTTCCAGAATCTGGTGCAAACGGTTCATTTTAAGGGAATCTTTTCAATCAGATGTGTGGATGAAGTGACTTTAATCAATCAGAACTAGTTCAGATTGAGCCACATGATGAGTTCAAGGACCTCTGGAAACTTGAAAATCTGACTCTGGCTCTGCTAAACGGTGTCATTTTACGCTTTTTGAAGCGGTCGACGACTTTTGGGGCTCCGTCCAAACCTCCTAAAAAAATCCTTAAAATACATTATCAGTTTTGTGATTAAAAAAATATTGACCCGGCCGGAAAAGTAGTCCATTAAGAGCAAAAAGTAAAGAAGATTTCATCACTCCGGTGGGTTTTTATTGCACTTTCGATCGAGCTAAGTGCAAGTTTTATTACATTTTCGGTAAATTATTACATAATTGGCTGCTGCAGGGACTAATGACGGAAAGCCAGATTTTTTTTTAATGTTTTAATGTTTGTGGGGATGTAATCTTTAAACAGACTCTGAGCTCTGGATCTTTCATCTGCTGTTGGTGTAAATCCGACATGAAGGAGGCGGCGGGTTGAGACTGGGTGGAGCAGATTAACTCGCTCGTCCTCCTCCTCTTTATCTGCCTCCCTCCGATTAGCTGCGAGGGATTGTTTCTGTGTGAATTATCCTCATAGCCGCCTAATAGCGTGGAAATTGATTAAGCAATTAGTGGCAAGCCACTGTATTTAGATCAAAGCAGATCATCGCATTACGTCGCCGCAGATTAACGCTGCCCAGGGCCAAATCGGAAATAACAGCTTCAATAATGGAATCGGAGGAACGCCGCGGCTCCCAACAGCTCCGCCACGACATCGTCCTCTCTTGTTTTATCGCCGTTTTTAATACTTATATGCAGCGAATAACTCAGAGCACTTGTAATGCGCTAAAAGGCTCCGGTTTTATAGCCGGGCCGCGACATTAGGAATCTTTTACATGAAGAAACTGATTTATTTTCAGCCTGCATGTGGCTGGAATTCATTCGCTGCACAGGAACGACGTCCAGAAGATTTTCTGCTGCAGCCGCATGTAGTTC